ACTGTACTTATATGTAGCTCTGTGATCTGAAAAACTTTCTAGTCAAGAATTTTTTGCCTAGTGTTTATATTATCTTGCTTTCTCTCTACACTTTTTGTGTGTCTCATATCTTTTAGACTATAAAACTGTGGGCATTAACTATTTCATTTCTGAGATTTCTAAGCCATTCTGGAAATCTGAGGTGTGGGTGGGCGAATAAAAAATGTGGTAGATAAATTCATTTTCTGTTGTTTTTATATGTATTTGAGTTGATTACAATTTATGGTGTCCTTATATGGAAATGTAGGACTTACTAAAAATACTGTCTCACCTGTTCCCAGTTCCCTCAGAAAGGACAACCAAGTGCTGTTCTCAATTAAAACCTCTGCAGGGTTTTGTGCCAGGAGTCCAAAAAAGAACATAGGCAAACTCTGAAGGGAAGAGCTGGAAGATAAATGCTGTTTGACAAGAGAATGGTTACAAGTAGCTGCTTTGGATGTGAGTTCCAGAGAAATTGAGTAATGTTTGAAGAACTGGGGAAACAATTGGACTAAGGCTTTTTCTGACTGGGGAGAATACCCATGTGATCTAGTAGTCCAGAAAGACATTAAGAGAGCTGAGAACAAGCCCTTCTCCAAATGGGAAAGCCAGCCAAGGAAGCCAAGTAGACTCAGATAGCTGTTGGAAAGCACTATTTTGCTGCTACGTTCTTATCATTGGTTTGCTGGTGACTTTACATGCTCCTGAGATTAATCCATCCCAACTGTCCCTAACCCCTACTCCAGAAAAGCAGGTGTAAAATCTTGAACAAGACGACTGAGATCTGTTTTCAGTATATCAAAGGTTAGTCACAGTTATATTTCATCACATGATATTTCATTTCATCTTGGACTGTGGTTAGAGTCCAAAACTGTCCTCAACTTCAGAAACTAAAATCAGTTGTAGGTGAGGGTGGTTGAGGCTGTGTTGAATCTAAGGGTGTTATCCCCTGGAGGGGTTTAACTGGTACTAGTGTCCAAACCAGATAAAATGTTTGTTTTTTAAGGTGTATCAAAGTCAGAGGCTGATATCCAAGTCCAGTCTGTCTCTGCACAATGGCTCCAACTTCAAACAAAAAAAAACATGCAGTGTCTCTTAGGGCTTTCAGGATACTATCTGATGTTTATACTTCAGTTTATCATTTTAGCCACCAAGTGCTGGATTTAGGACAAATGAGGTCCTGTGCTAGTTATGTTATGAGGCCCCTAACTTGGGCCCCAAAGGAGGTAGGTGTGCCTTCTTTGTGGCATTCTCCCATAGACTATCAACTCTATCATTATATTGAGAATCGCTCTGAAAAAGAGCGCCAACAAATTTAGAATTGTACCACATAAGCAAAACCCATCATAAAAAGTGTTGTCAGGAAAATGGGGGGCCCTGACCAATGGGATCCTGTGCTTAAGCATGCCTAAGCACAATGGTAAAGCTGGCACTGTGGCCACCCCTTTAACTGAAGGAAGAGGAGCCCAAGGGAACTAAAATGAACAGTGCAAAAGGAGGTAGCCTTCAAAGACTTAAAAACTTATTTTGCCAAACTTCTATTTGAACAGTTCCAGATTTCACTGGATTTTTCATAGTTCAAACTGATGTCTCTGAGCAAGGCTTTGAGGATATATTATCCCAGAAAAATGAAAGTGGAGAACTTCCCTTTCTATACCTAAGTAAGAAATTGACCCCATAAAAATGATAGAATTCCACAATGGAATGAGAAGGCCTCTCTTTTTCTTAGCAGTACATAGCTTATGACATTATTTATGGGAACGGGTATTCAAGTTACTGATCATGTTCTATTGAAGGATACAAAGCCTCAGTTGATTTGCTGGCGTCTTGCATTGCAACTAAAAGCATTTACTGTACCTTTACTGTATCCTAGGACACTTCCCATAGGAGGCCATAGGAGGCCTCTCATGTTCTCATAGAGAAGAGGGTTAGTGCAGAGGGAAGCCAAGCGGCAACACTTCCTCCCATGGGATAGGTAAATGGATGATGTGAGCAATGCAGGGTGGTGGGTTTCCATGCTGCCTGGTGGATTCATCACAATGCATGATGAATCCCCCCCCCCACTATCACCCATAAATTGGAACTCAGTGTGGTGAGGTCACAGGTCAACATCCTCTTGGTGGGGGGATATATGGAAAGTTGGACTTCCTAGAAGCATTGCTCCACCTATACCCTAGCCACTGGAGGAAAAGAGAACCACCAATTAAAGCCTCTGTGGCAGATATAACCAAGACCCCAATAGAATAATTTTTGGCAAAATTGGAAGGAGAGAGCTGGGCGGCAGAAGCAATCTAGATGTAGAAGGGTTGTGAGCCACTCCTTTGGACTTGGGCTCCATGGACATGAAGAACCATGTGAAAAAAAAACCCTAAAGTAACAGTTGGAATGAAATTATTCCTGGCTTGAGGGAACAGCCATGTGAGCTGGGAGCCTGGAGAAAGCTGAGAATAAGCCATCCTGCAAATGTAGCTCTTTTTCGTACCTTGTAACTTTTGCAACACCCCATCATGGTGTTTTATTGTCAAAATTGCTTTCTTAGGATGATAATCTGACATGCCTGAATGAGTTACTATAGATGAGGTGAATTAGAATCCTGGTCTCCTAGTGTCTTAGTACCACGTTTATAGTTCAGAAAAAAGTATGGTCAATAGGATCTCATTCTCAGCTCCCATCATCAAGACACATGTGAAGTCAGTAAGATGAATTGTCAGACAAGATTCCTGGTTAATAATATTAAATCGTTATGGACTCTGGCTACATCACCTTCCTCTGCTTTGTAGTTTTGACAATATACAAGATATCTCCCCAGAAGGAGAGAGACTCTCAAGGTGGTACCTAAGTTGAATCCTACACAACTTCCCTTAAATTATGAGTTCAAGACTCTTGAGCCCTTTTGCAAAGGATTTTAGCATCATTTAGATCAGTGTTTCTCAACCTGGGGATCGGGACCCCTGTGGGGGTTGCGAGGGGGTGTCAGAGGGGTTGCCAAAGACCATCAGAAAGCATAGTATTTTCTGTTGGTCATGGGGGTTCTGTGTGGAAAGTTTGGTCCAATTTTATCATTAGTGGGATTGAGAATACTATTTCATTGTGGGTGAACTATAAATCCTAACAACTACAACTCTCATATGGCAAGGTCTATTTTCTCCGAACTCTACCAGTGTTCACATTTGGGCATATTGAGTATTTATGCCAAGTTTGATCCAGATCCATCATTGCTTGAGTCCACAGTGTTCTCTGGATGTAGGTGAACTACAACTCCAAACACTCATGGTCAATGTCCACCAGATCTTCCCAGTATTTTCTCTTGGTCATGGGAATTCTGTGTGCCATGTTTGATTCAATTCCATCATTGATGGAGTTCGGAAGGCTCTTTGATTTAAGGTGAACTATAAATCCCAGGAACTCCAGCATTACCAAATGACAAAATCAATCACCCCCAACCGCACCAGTATTCAGATTTTGGGCGTATCGGGTATTTGTGCCAAATTTGGTCCAGGGACTGAAAATACATCCTGCATATCAGATATTTACATTACAATTCATAACAGTAGCAAAATTACAGTTATGAAGTAGCAACGAAAATAACGTTATGGTTGGGGGTCACCACAACATGAGGTCGCGGCATTAGGAAGGTTGAGAACCACTGATTTAGATACAATCTTACAATAAGTCAAAGTGCTTCAATCCAACAGAGTGAAGTAGTTGGTCTGGATCCAGAAATGCAGTCCTGGTCAGTGACCACAACAGCTCCTTTTACCTCAATATACAAATAAAACGAGTTTCAGTACAACACAAACAAGTCAACAGAAGACATTCCTTGCAAACCTTCACAATTGAGATCAAACTCAGCAATAGAACTATTATCTTATTTAAAACAAATGAAATTCTATTGTAGCATTTGGCATCCCAGAGTCTCATTTTTTAATTCTTGTAGCCACAGTTAAAAACAAAGCAGTGTCTGATTTTTAAAAACTCAGCAACAACACAGTATTATTATCCCATAGAAATTATCATAGGAGCTCTGGTAGCATTTGCTATGTGAATAGTTAACATTTATTATTAATTGATACTCTAATTAAAGCCATGCTAGTGCTTTCCATTAGCTTACTCTCAAATTTTTACAGAGCTGTCCGTCTGGTTTTAATCAAAACCAAATGGCAATCCAAGTTCCCAGGCTGGAACAGCTCAGAGGAAATCATTCAGAGAAGGCAGAAGAAAGCAGGAAAGATAAACAGCAGATAGTTTCACCAAATCTGTATCGCATGGAGGATGTAGATCCTGTGGGCTGCTCCAGAGATATGATTCCGGCACCCTGTCAGACTGCAAAAGAGTAGTTACAAATGTTCTGTGTCAGCTGAATTCTAATATGATCAAGATGGAGTCTATACGCACGCTTCTATAACTGTGGATCTGTGAGACTCTAGAGAATACTCCATAGAGGTAATACGCTATATACGTGTAGACTGTGGCTGCCTTTATATGCAATGGCATTCTTTTCTCGCAGTTCTCATTGGCTAAAGAGCTCACTGGCAGAACTTCGTCTTTGAGTTATATTTGCATAGGCTGCAATTGTATTATCTATCCATCTTGCCTCTTTTTTCCCTCTCCTCCTGTGCAATTCTTTGCTCAATAGAGTAGGGGAAAACCGTCTTTAAAGCATGGCAATATCTTCTTTCAAGCTAATTTCCTTAGATGTGGTTCATTTATTATTCAAGAGAATTAAAGAGATATTTGGAATGCTTTCAAAGTTATTGTTTTATATGGGCTCAAGCGGTAGAAACAAAGTATTAACATAGAGAAGTCATAAAATTGGGGACTGGAGATATAAATATCCAGAGGCAGAATTTCGTCAAATGCACTGTATCCAGATTTTCTGCCATTCCTGTTCTCTCTCTCTCTCTCTCTCTCACACACACACACACACACACTTACTTTCACATGGCTACTACTCAACAGCAGGAAATACTTTTGAAGCAATCTGGGCCTGGTTCTTTGAGGCCCCATCTCACAAAACATCAGTCTGCATTTAGTAGACAGAAGTAACTAGGGAAAGCTTGGTAGAATTCCATTTCGTTGAGGCTCCCTCCAGCTGCAGAATGTGTTTTGGTCAGAATCACACATATAGAGCAAAAGTGCTGAGAATAGAGCAATGATCTCAGCAATGAAATCCGAACTTTATGCTTGCGGAGGCTGAGAGAAATTCTGGGTGGGTTCTTTTCCCCCCACTTTCCCTTCTCTCTTTTTTGTATACACAGCCAAAGCATTTTGAGGAGTAATTTTGACTATTTACACCTTCTTGGCATTTTTGCGAGTTAAATCTGCCAGTTTTGAAACTTTTTTTTAAAAAAAAAGCTAATAAGCTGCTTTCAGCTATGCATACATTTTCTGGAATCTGTTAGACAAAATGCCAGGACTCTTTAATGAAGCTTTCTGCACTGAGGATTTCATTCGTATAGCCGGAATGGGGAAAAAACACAGTAAGTGAAATATAGCATGCCATCATCTGTGTCTTTAAATATGGATACATGCATGGATAAAAGATCTGAATTTTTCTATGTTTTTATTTTGTTAAAAATGGAAATATTTTACTTATTGTTGATATCTAGTTGCAAATGACACTTGCAAGATTTTAGTGTGTATGCTTTGCATTGGCTATAGAAACAAGAAGTTGGAATGTATTTTGCATTTTTCCTCATTAACAATAAGAAGGGAGAGTGTGGGGTAAAAAAGTTGCATCACTCTTTAATTTACAGTCCTACAGAAGTCTTCAGAAGGGAGTCCTATTAAGTTCATGTTCACAGGTAAATGTGCATAGGATTGCATCTTTGGCTGTTTATAACAGCCACCTGAATTTGGTTCCATATAATTTTGTCTCCTTAAGTGTGATTCCAATGCAAGATCATGATATCAAGTTGTGAAATGTGTCAGTCCTATATAGACTGTCAAATGTCAAAAGTAGCGCCACCCCAGAACTTCTGATACAGGAGGTTAGGAAGTAGCGCCACCCCAGAACTCTGTGGGCTTACTTCTGAGAAAATGCTCTTAATACTAAATTCAGATATGTCAGCTGTCATTTTAAAGAAGGAGAGAATTACAACAGAATTAATGCTACCTCTACTGCAGCTTAATATTTTGATTCCAAATTCCCTTTGGATACTTCCATAGAGCAAAACGTTATTTCATTCCAACCCTGTATGAAACCATAATAGAGATGGTATATCATGCATACATACTAGTCACAGAGGAGATGTGTGCAAGAATTCCAACCAGTAATGGATGATGGAGTTGGTGAAATGATAGTGAGTAGGCTTGGTTGATTAAAAAAATGGTTCAAAACTTGTTTCAGATGTAGGGGGCACTGGTGGTTCAATTCTAAAGTCACTTCCAGTTTTTTTTAAAAAAAATCAAAACTTTCCAAAACTTCCAAAACTTCCGAATTGTTTCGTTAATGGCAGACACATGTGCACAGTAGGAAATAAACAGCAGTGGAACTGAGGAAAATTCATGGGATTCTCCCTCCCTCATTTTTGGACCAATCCTGATGAAACTTGCTACAGTGGTAGAACACATAGACCACTGTTAGCTCACCAAATTTCATAACCTTTGACTTATCCATGGATTTTTGGCGAATTTCAAAGTTTTATAAAAAACATTTTTAATAATAAAGAAAATCTGTTCCTGATTTGAAAATATTATTTCCTGTTTCATTGGGTGGTCTTTACTTTGAAAGTAGCTGTTCTACTCCAGAAACTTTGTTTTTGTGGCACAAACTGGGTTAAATTGGTGCAGAACAGAAATCATAGTGCAAGCCCCATAAAGGGACATCTAGACTGACCCCCTTCTTCTGGGCAGAAAGGCACCATCAAAACTCTCCTGACATCTATTTGCTTCCTCTACTGAGGAGACAGCAAAGCCAAGAAAAGACAATTATGCTGGGGAAAGTGGAAGGCAAAAGGAAGAGGGGCCGACCAAGGGCAAGATGGATGGATGGCATCCTTGAAGTGACTGGACTGACCTTGAAGGAGCTGGGGGTGGTGACGGCCGACAGGGAGCTCTGGCGTGGGCTGGTCCATGAGGTCACGAAGAGTCGGAGACGACTGAATGAATGAACAACAACAACAACTGAGTTTGGAGGGAATTCTCAAGACACATCCATCCATTTATTCCTATTTGCAGATGCAATCAATCATTTTATTTTATCATTACTTACTGATGTAAAGGGCTGGCTGGTTGTGGTGGGTTTTCCCAGTGCCTTGTTCATGGCAATTCAAAGTGAATTATTGGTTTTTAAGCAGTTTATGTTCTTTTGGCTTTTCAAAAGTTTCTTATTGCTTTGCTGCCTTCTTTAGACACCTTTGTAGATTCAATCAGTTTATTTTATATTCAGACAAAGACTGCTACAGACAGCTATAGGGGTCATTCAGCCATTTTGGCTAATGAGCAGCAAAGCAGTAGGGCCTTTTGCAATTGGCGTCTGGCCTTCACAAACTATAACAATGGCTGTGCTAACCATGCCCACCTCATCCCTCTCTTGCATCGCCGGGGAGGGAAAGCATGAGATTTTAAAGCTTTTTAGGTTTTAGCAAAGTTGCCTAATAGTTCTGAAAATTAAAATAACCTTGGGAGACATTTGAACATTATGGAATATTTCTGTTTAAAAAAAGGTTAGTGGTTCAGATTCGGATTTGCCTCTCCCACCTTTCCTGCATGGTTCAAAACTGCTTCGAAAGTCGAAAGTCGGAAGTTTTTTATGACTTTCAGGCACTTCCGAATGAACCTATCCAACCCTAATATTGAGTCATCTACTTCTGAAAGAATCCTCAAACTATTATGCTTAAAGATTGGTGATTCTGGTTTTAAAAATGCAATTCACAGCCATTCCCCACTCTTTTCAGCAAAAAATTCTGCAAAAAAGGTGCAAGGAGTGATATATGTTCCCCTCTCAATGTATAATAATTCAGTATCACTTACTGGATACAAATTTTTCATCCATCCCTATCCCATTGTATTTAATTTCCATAAAAGCCAAGCTGGCAAGTAATCCTTTTACAGCTTCAGCCAAATTGTCATTTCTTACATTTATATATTCGACATAATCCATGGCTCCATATTGCCTTTTTCGCAATCCTGAGACTCAACATTCATATTGTACAGAAGTTAAATTATAATGTGTTGCTAGAATTAAAAGCAATTTAAAAACAGCTATTTTTAACAAACACATCCAAAAAGATAATGGAGCACATTATTAAAGGCACTTTCCTGATTGGCAAAGAATTCTCAAAGGCTGGTCAACATAAAACATTTCACTTGCCTATGGAAGGATTGCAGGGAGACTGCCAAAATAGCCTTTCTAGGAAGTGAGTTTTGAAGCCTTTTCCCTTCTCCATTTCTTGCCCTGTCTTGTGCTTTTGCCAGTAAGTTTCAGAGGACACATTTTATAAGCCAAATAAGTCAAAATTGTAAATTGTGATCAGAGGATGTGTGCCAGTATACTTAGCCTGTGTTATTTATTATAAATATGTAATTTGGATTGCCTTAAAGACCAATCTGGATTATTTTGGCATTTCCTCTACTTGATCTTTTATAATGGAAGGTTTCTTTGCAAGCTGTGTATAAGTAATATATAAAGACCATAGTTCAACTGGTATTCCTTATATAGCATACAGTTAGTTTGATCCATAATACCTCCAAAGTTTACAGGAATTGTAAGGCTTCACCTTGAGATCTTGGAGAGTCAATTCTTCAGCCTTCCACAACTTGGTACTAGCTAAAGGTCTGTCCTACCATTCCAAAGAGCTTCAGCCAGCAACAGAAATAGTCAGTGGTGATTGCTACTATAACTAATTAAACTTCTGGAGAACATCAGGTTGTGAAAGTGTAGACTAAAGGCCATTAGGTTAGAGCACACCTGTCAAATGCAAGACCAGCAGGCCAAATCCAGCCCACTGCATCATTTTTAATGGCCCACAAGATTTGAATGCCAGGACAACATAGTTACATTCATCCAGTCTTACAATTACAAATAGCCCTTTGAAGGCACCATAAGGTTGATGTGGCCCTCAGAGAAAATGACTTGGGTTAGAGGGTCAACTTTGTCTGGGGAAGGTAGATATGATGATGAAGATAATATTTTTGGTGCACATAAAACTTTACTCTCTTTCTGCAATATGATATCCTCCAGCTGGATTGTACTACAGTTCCCATCTCTGAAGCCCACCATGAAAAATCACAGTCCTTGCTCAAACAGTCTGAGAATAATGAAGTTGCCCGAATCAGTTTGAACAAAAACGATTTGTAGTATTCGATGGGCCATTTTATATCATCTCCAAAAACAGACCAGGGAGGAGGGAGCCAAAAGTGTCCAGCAAAGTGTCCCATTTCTTTTGGAAATATTCCCTAGGCTCCTCCTCCAGAGAGGGCCCTGCTGAGAACTCACTTTCCCAGCAGCACTTGCATAGGGAAGGCAGTTTCTGAGTTCCTCTCAGAGCATGATGGGATTTGAAGTTTTTCTATCTCTCTGTTTCTCAGTTAATAAATGACCTGGTTGTATCCATTCTCTGATTGACTGAGAATGGTGCAACCAGCCAACTACAATTCCCAGAACCCTTTCTTGCAGTTTGTCTTATTTTAAAAAATGTTATGGTTAAAACTTAAAATAATTCTTAAAAAAAACAGTAGATCGGTGAATTGTTTTGAAACTTGGCAGGCCTACAGTTGTAAATGAGGTCTAAAACTGAGGTATGTCCCATGCAGATATACCTTAAAATGACTGAAGATTGGGCTTTTTAAGTTTTCTATTGTAGCCAATGGGCCAAATCTTTGCTGAATGAAAATGGCAATAGCCCTCCTGATTCGAGTAACTTCCCAGTAAACAGAATGAGGGGTCATCTGACAATAGGCCCTGAAACAGGATGCCTTTTGGCTGAACTGCATGCCCCTATTCATCAACACAGTTTGGAAGGGATCGCATTAGGGATGGCATCATTAAATACCTATAACATGGATAGTGGTAGCTCTAGGAAGAAATCATTGTCCTAAAAACAAGTTATCGCCTATGTTGTCCTATTTGTAGTCAAACTATTTGGAAAGTTTATTTCATCCAAATAATATTTTCCTCTTAAAATAAGCTGTTTCCTCTTTCAGAAGCATTCCATTTTGCAAATTTTCCCAAGAGTCAGCATTTCTTCACCTGCATAAAAATTGGATATTCTAGCCTTCCTTACTGGAAATGTTAGCTTAAGCCTCATCTCAGTTAAACAGCTGGGTAAATTTTGACAACTGTTTTCAGCCATTGAAAATGTATCGTAAAAATGTTGTGAATGCTCACTCTCTTTGGAAAGCATGCAATTATTGACATTTCAAAATCAAATGTCAATACTATTTCTGTAATTATGTGTTGTACAAATCTGTCTCACCTACGCTACCAATGAAATCATTTTCAACACTGAATCAACATGTGTACTTGGTGATGACAACC